CTGGGTCTCTAAATAAATAAATAAATAAATAAAATAAAAAGGTCTTCACAGTATCTCGAAAGATTTTTTTTTCTTTTCTTTCTTTTTAATTTTTTTAGTGGTTTTTTTTTATTAAATGATAGCTGCATACATTAATGCAAACATGGGGTACAGTGATCTTGAAAGATTTTATTATGTAGATATACTAACATGAAAAACGCAAAGAAAATGCTAACAAAAATCTCAAAGGCAATACCTTTATCTGCATCATAGGACCCTTGTTCACTTCCGTTTTCAACAATTCTTCCAGGAAGGGTTAATCTGCAAATTTAACACAAGATCTCATGAGGTCCTTAAATTACAGTGTAACATAAGTGACCATTAATAATGGTATACATTTACCCAAGAAAATTTATCAACCATTCTGGCACATTGGATCACACCTATAATCCTAGCACTTTACAATGCCAAGATGGGAGCCTAGCTTGACAATAGGAGTTCAAGACCAGCCTGAGCAATATAGCAAGACCCTGTTTCTATAAAAAATTAAAAAATGAACCAAGTGTGGTAGCATATGCCAGTAGTCCTAGCTACTGGGCAGGCCAAGAAAGGAAGATCACTTGAGCCCACGACTTTAAGGTTGTGAGCTAGCCCAGGCAACAGAGTAAGATCTTATCTATAAAAATGGGGGGGGGGGGGATCTATCAATCATTTTCCAAGGGAAATTCTTCAACATTTCTTTTATATTTTAACAAACTAAATAAGTTAGATTTCTTCTCCAACTAAGAAGCAGAAATTAGAGATGATTCATCTTCCTATTTGAAAACCTCAGGCACCATTAAAATAGATACTGAAAAAGAAAAGCCACAGTAAATATTATTTATTTATCACTATTATTACAGTAGTATGGGTTGAGCATTCCTAATCTAAAAATCAAAAATTTGAACTGCTCCCAAATATGAACCTTTTTGAGCACTAATGTGACACCCTAAGTGGAAAACTCCACACCTGACCTCAGGTGACAGGGTGCAATCAAAACTGTTTCATACACAAAATTATTAAAGATACTACATATAAAATTACCTTCAGGCTATGAGCATAAAATATATATGAAACCTAAATGAATGTGTTTAGATTTGGAGCCCGTCCCCAAGATATCTCATTATTTATCAGAAAATATTCCAGTATTTGAAAAAAAGCAAAATTTTTGATGAGGATATTCAACTTGTACTTCCCCTTTATTAATGAATAAGCATTTTTTTATATATCTGGTGCTTTATATGGCAGGTACTCAATAAAAGTATACTAACCAGCTTCCAGTAAAAGAAGAAAAAGCCAGATATTGGGAAACCAGAAATACGAAACCAGTCACTTATATCAGACTAATTACTACTTATTTTAAAAAGGGGGCAGAAAGCAGAAGTGTTGTCCTCAAATCTCATCATTATTATATAGGAATTTCCTCCTGTTTTCCTTTT